AAGTCTGGGGGCACACACACATCCTTACCTCTGTGTCCTGATGTCTTCAGAAATGAAAACCACTCACATTGTCCAAATGAAATCTGGGGTACACATCAGCCAGCTCTCCAAGAAAGGGGATGGGGACACTGGGATTCCAGGACATAACACAGCTCCCTGCAGAGCCTCTCCCGCACAGCCTTCTCACTGCCTCTTCTGCTTTGGAGGTAGAGACCACCTCAGGCATAGCCAGGAGCTTTAAGGGAGCATTCCCCTTTCCTTGGCCTGAGCCTGCATGTACAGCATTCTGTCCAGTTCGGATCCCTGTTGGAGGGAGAGTGATAACTACATCAAGTTTGCCAGAGTGTTATGAAGATGGATAGATGGCTGGAGAACACAGTCTGTGAGGAAAGATGGATGTAGCTGCATTTCTTCATGCTGGAGAAAGGATGGTAGAAAGAGATTTAATTTCTATCTGCTACAACTGAAAGTAGATTCATAGGGAAGATGGAACCCATCTCTGAGGTACACAACAAAAAACAAAAAATCAATGATCAAAAGTCTCAGAAAAAGTAAATCTGACTGGAAATAAGGGAAAAATCCTCACTGTTGAGAGTGGTTAAGCATTGGAACAGGGGACCAGAGAGGCTATGTATTATCCATAAACAAACTGGAGAACTATGGACTGAGTTGATGAGAGTGTGGAAAACTTGTGGGGCTCCAACAGTAGCAATCCACTGTAACAAGTTCAGATGATAGTCTTATCAGTGGCATCCCACAGGAACTAGTACTGGGGCACAATAATTTATTATGATTGTTAACAACCAGAGTGATGAGAGAGAGCTCACTCCTGGCACGGCTGCAGATGATACCAAACCAAGGGGAGCAGTTTTCATGAAAGAGGGTGTGATCGCTTGTTGGAGAATTTTGCTCAGACATGGCTTGAAGGAAAAAAGGCCATGGGAATATACAGCTGATGGAAAAGTAAAAGGCAGCTGTAAGCAGCAAATTCTCAAGCCTGATCCTGTAAACAACAAAATTCTCAGGCACATTTCTGTAAACAGCAAGAGTTCTCAGGCTTGTCTTTTAATAACAAGTAAATACCTTGTCCTTGGGTAGTATGGGAAAGCAAAGTGACAAACATGGAGGCCTTGAGAACCGTTCATAACAGGATGAGAAAAACAAGTCTTGGTCTCAATAACAAACCACAGGTATTGAAAACAAAAGGAGGGGTTGCTGTGTGATCTGTAGCCAATGATGAGCTCGAGTTTTGCAATATGTATGAACTTAATTAACACGGTTATAAAATGTGCATGTTGGATCAATAAATTGGAGTTTGATGCTGATCAAAGGATGGGTCGTCTCCCTTCACTTCTACAATCGCTACTCAGAGGGACATAGACAGGCTGTAAAATTTACAGGACCATGAAATTCTAGAGAGGCAAATACCAAGTTCTGCATGAGGGGTGGAATAACCCCATGCAACAGTGCAGGCCAGAGACTGAAGGGCTGGAAAGCAGCTTTGCATAAAAAGACTGAGAGAGCTGAACATGCCTCCACAGTGTTTCCTTGTAGCAAAGGCAGCCAAATAAGCACTGGGAGGTTTTAGAAAAAGGGTAATCAGCAGGCAGAGGGAAGTGAATATTCCATTCTGCCTGGCACTTCTGAGACTGCATGTCCCTAGTGCAAGAGCTGTTGACATATGGGAAAACTTCAAAATTTCACTAGTCAAGACATTTCCTCTGGGTTTTCTTAGCTCTGTTGGTCAAATCTCCCAGAAGTACCACAGGCACTCAGGAGTGTCAGCTTGACTGACTTTCCATTGGATGTACTCCTTAGGATACTTGGGTCTTTCTGAAGCTGTTGCATTTAAGAAGGAAACTAATCACTCTGCAAGAAAAGACAAAACAGGTTGCAGAGCTGGCAAAGGAAACCCAACTGAAAATATGTTGTATCAGCTCCTCGCCCATATGCTTTGCTTAATAGCGCTGAAAAAGGTTTTGTACTCCCTTCAGCTAAACTGCTCCTGTCCTTAGCTCATCAGTGTAAGGAGATCCTCTTGCTGACCAGGGATAATTTTCCTCTTTTCTTGGCCCCTGCACTTGTAATTGGAGAGAGTGAGACAAGCAAAAAAAGGAAAAAAGAAGAGTTTTTCATTATAGAACAAAATTTGAAGATGAGATGGGGAAGGGAGATTGTCCGGTTTATCTCGGCTGTTTGAGGGGCCTGGAATGGCCCGGGGTGGCCTTGGGGCAGCCCGTGTATCGAAGGACAAGAAGAGGCTTCAGTTCTTCTTTCGGTTTTTATGTTTATTAATTGTTTATCTAAAAGATGTTCTTTCAGCCGAACAGAGATCTGCTCAGCAGTCAGCCATGGGCACACTGTCTGCCCTCCCGGGCAGCCACGTATCTTTATACCCATTGTTACGTGTACAATATTTATCATTTTTCCCCAATACCATATATTCTTATAACTCGGTGCACTCTCAGTAGTAACCAATCCAAAGGTGCCACCGTGGCCAAAGAAGATGGAGGAGAAGAGGAAGAAGAAGGAGGACAGGACACACCCCAATTCCTCCATCTTACTCCTCCAAACCCCCCTGTACATAAATCCTAAACCCTGTGTCTCACCCTCTAATTAGCTAATCTTTTCGCCATTCACCCCGGTGAAGCCCTCTTATCTTCATAAAGGTGTCGTCTCCCGTGTAGGGTCAAAGTCCTGCCACCAGACACTTCTGGCAACATTCCAGGACTCCCGGGCCCCCCAAGGGTGGTCTCGGGGGCCCGGCATCCCAGGACTCAGATCCTGAGATCCCACAGGAGATAGGCTGAAAAGATCTGTAAATTTTTTTCAGATGTTCCTTGGTGTAGAAGGCACTTTATAAAACCCGAAATTTTGCACTAAATGTCAAATTGAGATGGTTCTTTCCCTTTCTCATATTGGTTCCTCTTACAAGCAGTAACTATTTACCCACATTAGACATGCAGTCCTGAAAAGAAAGTCTGAGATATCATTTCAAAAGCCATGTGTTGCTTCCAAATCATTTATAAAAAGAGACTTTATAAATATCCAGAGACATCACTCCTCTGCTATGCAACAGTAAAACAGATATGTTCAGTGCACCTAATGCAATTAAAGTGCTCAGGAGAGGCATAGATACAGCAGTGTAATAAAAGTAAATGGCTGCCAATGCTTACCAAAATATATAGTAAAATTATAATATAATGAATAGGGTAGAGAGAGTCCAAAACAATGATGCTTTAAAAAACCCCATTGTAAATAATAATTTAATTATATCACACATTAAATGGGTACTGGTGCTTGGCTCACTGGTGCTTTCTAATCTTCCTTTTTGGAAGTCCTGTATGACTTGGTGGTTTTTCTCCCATGAGAAACTCAAGCACACAAACAGGAACACATGCTGCATTTCTAGGTCTGCCAGTAGCTCCAGCAGGACAGTGACTTTGGGAGAGTATCCACAGGCAGGTGATACCAGCACCACCTGGCCTCTGCTAGGGGTCCTGCGGATGGCACCTGTGTGAGTGGGAAAAGAGGAGAGCACCCTGCCATGAGATGGATGTTGCACCATGTGAGCAGAGCACATACCCCCCGAGATGTGCTATGAGGAATGGATGCAGTCCTCCAGCTTCCCTAAGGGAGTCTGCTTCCACACTCACAGTGCTGTTACAAAGAGGAGGGGTGAAGTCCTGACACCATCAATGTTAGTAAGAAGAACAGAAAGAAAAGTGAGAAACCTGCACTCTTTCATCCTATTCTCCACCTGCTCCCACATAAATCTCAACACTTGCTTTTTATTGAGCTCCACTGTTGCTGCCCCTGTTCTTGGGGTGGATGTTGCAATGTGCAGTCTGGGGTGTAAGGCCATAGTCCCCAAAATTAATGAACATGATGGAGACACAGAAACATCCTACATGTCTGGCTACTCCTGTTTCCAACTGCCTTTTTCTAGATTATCATATCTTGACATTATTGTAACACTGCTTTGGAAACATAGGACAGAATACACTTAGTTATACATCATATTTGTAGGCTACCAGGATGACAGCTTGTTTTTAACAACTAAACACTTGATGACAACCAAACATAATTTTTGAATTTAGCTGACAAAGTGCCAGCCGGAAGAAGCCCAGCAATGCAAAAGATGTGGGGACTTCTGCACACATGGCAAAACCACCCATCCTCCTGCCTGGCCCCAGGGTGAGGACCCCAGTGTTGTGCTGCCCAGCAACCTCTACCAAAGTGCTGCAAAGAAGATTTAGTTTCTGGAAACTTTATTTTGACAAACTGTTGAGAGACAATAACTCCATTTCTTTTCCTTTTTCATAACCTCCTGTGAGAGCCCTCCATATTCCCATACTTCTGATTCAGCATCCAAATATTCTTACCCATGTTTCTTACCTGGTAAAGACTGAGAAAGGGCTATCATCTGAACCACCCACAGTGACTGGAAGATTCTGAAAGATCATGACAGAGAAGCAAAAGCTCTCTCTATGGAGATACTTCACCTTTGTATGATTGCTAATCTCAGATAAATATCACATCCGGTTTTCTTTCCAGACAGATCTGAATTTATCCACCTCTCTACACTGCAGTGCTTATAAAAGCAGTCTTTCACATAAAACCTGTATTATATCCAGAGCACAAATGGAAACTTTTCTGTATGTCCTAAGAACTTTCAGCATATTCCTAGTGTTTTTTATAGCCTTGGTCAGCCTCTTTCTCTCTGGTGGCCAAATACTGGCTGCAAAATTCCAGACTTTTCCATAGATGCCTTTTATCTCCACTGATAGTCAAAGCTCCAGGTACAAACACCTCCAGGCTCTCAGCTTCACAGTCTTTGGAAGCAGCTTTTATTCTGTGTACATGCCTTCCCAAACCATGCCTAGAGACCTCTCTCAGGGCCCGAAGCTAAGATGCTCTTCTGTGACACATCCCACATATTGGAATATGTATCCCAATATAACCAGTTAGATGGTGCCTAGGCCAATTCTGACCTTCGCTGCTGGGCCACAGGCAGCACTGCGGTGTTTTACCCCAGAGATACCTTGGCTGGCGGCAGAGTGCAGCGGGGCACAAGATAGGACTCCGTTCTCCTCAGGAGAGAGCTTCTGGCGATGGTAGAGAGAAAGGGAATGGATTCTGCTAGAAGGTAGCCAGAAGTTTATTCCATGAGTACAGATATGTCTGCACTGGGCTACTGCTGGTAACAGAATGCCGGCCGCATGGTCTCATTAACTTTATAAGCTCGGGGACAGGGGAAGGGGAGGGGACAGGTGAGTTACCAACCAGGTGAAGGGGGCAGGGTCTCAAGGGAGGATGACACTTAGACAGGCCAATGACCCCCAGGCCTGAGAAGCATCCTTTGAAATCGACGAATCACACGACACCTTGCTGGTATGTTAGCCTGATTGACAGGGCACACTCAGCAAGGGGGCGAGGGGGCAGGGAGAGAGGCATAGGCACACCTGGGAAGGGACTCGGAAGTTTAAAACAGGACATTGCAACACACCACAACACCCACACTGACAGTGCAGTGATACAATGGAAATTATGTTTCTTGTGAATGCAGACCATCGCTGGACAAGGAAATTACTGACACAGTGAAGAATTTTTGGAAGCATTAAAATCAATTTCTCCCTATTTCTCTCACCACCTACATGAAAAAGTAGTTATTTCATTCCTAAGAAGGAAAAAAGGAAAGTGATTCTCTGTGATATCTGAACCATAATAATAATCAGAACAACAAAAGATGGAGAACAGTTGAGAGAGAGTGAGAGATTTGTCAGTACTGCAAAATTATTTACTCTGTTTTATGTAAAAACAAATACTATATTATGCAATCCTCTACAGGAATGAAGACTCTTTCAAAAGCCTCTCTGGACCTCCCTTCTCTCTGTAGTCTCATTTCCTTGTTCATTCCACATGGGCTGCTTTCCTGTGCTCTCGAATTTCCCTCTTTCCTCTTCTCAGAGGACAACATTCCTGGATGACTTTTCCCTGTCTAAACTTCTGATGAATTGCTAGCTGACAGGTCACTGAGTCTCTGTAGGAAGCCAGAGGATGAGAAGTTGAGTTCCAGCTCTTCCCATGACTTTTCCCTATGTTATTCATAAGGAATCAAATTGCCCCTGAGCCAGTTATTCCCAAGTCCTGTTGTAGCAACAAAGGTCTGTAAAACCTGGGGGTTGCTCCATTCCCTGGTACCAGGTGGTGATGCTGGCATGGACAGGCTGGATAGATTTGAAAGCTTTAGGCATGGTTGATGTGAAGCTCCCCTTGGCAAAGCCTCCACAAGCACAGCATGCACTGCCTCTGCTGGGGGGCCATGGGAACTTCTCTCTGCCACCTTTCATTGGATGCTCAATGCTCAGCCCTTCTGCACAAAATTTGGATCAAGGTCTCCAATGGATTAATCATTCTGGAGTAATATTTTGTCCAATTTTTCCACTGTTCAACCTTGGAGTTGTGATAAAGATCTAACTATAGCATGAAAAAAGTACAAATATAGTAACAGTTCAAAAAAGAGTTCCAGTGACAGCCCCACTTTCAGGGGAGAGGAAGTAAGTTAAGACTGAGGTACGTGTCTCACATTTACCTTGTAACTTGACAGCATAGGAGGACTATTTGTAGTACAGTTGTGATATTATTTAAATAAAGTAATTTTGAATCTGAATTATAGATGATGTTTTGTACTTTAACAGATCTCGGTGGCTAAATATTTATCTTTTCCTCTTTCAGGTGTCTCCTTTTGCTGGCAGATTTCCCGTTCTCTCTGCATTGCTTCTCTCCTTTGGAAATAAGGCACTGAATAAGGATCTCTCTTCTTCAGAACTTGGCTCCTCTCTCACTTGGCTCCGGGAGTGAAAGTAATTAAGAGCAATTGATTGCTGTAGAAATATTAATATTTATTATTGGTACTGCAGCAATATCCTGAAGCTTCAGCAGCAGTGATATAAATATATGTGAGAGAAATAATTGTGGTAGGGCAGCTGAGGATTATTACATTGACCACAAGGTCAGTAACTCTGCCATCACATAGCTGGGCTCTGAAAAAGTGAAATAAGGAACCTCCCAGAAAAAAACACTGCAAAACATAGTTGCAATCATTTGCAAACAACACAAATGCAATCATTTTCAGCCTTGTTTCTCCTGAAAGGATGTCTGGGAATGGACATCCATGACTCAGTCTTTTGAGAAGTCAATGAATATGAATTGAAAGAAGAAGAATCCTCCATTTAAACTTCTTTACCGTGGGTCGGCCTAGCTTCTGCAACTGTGCCACACACTTCATTCTGCTGAAAGTTTACTGCAACTATCAGAAAAGGTTGCCATGACATTAGCACAGTAGAGAAGAATTTCTATATTGTTGTGCCTGGACTACCAAACCACCACATTAGAATATTAACTGCTAATATTTCCTCTGAAGTGTGTCCTATACTATCTTCCTTTTGAGGAAGAATATGTTGGTGAGATTTGTGAAAGCTGACAACATTCATCCCACCTTTCTACCACTTCTGTCTGCAGTATCCCTGACTTTGGCCAAGAGTGAAGCAATTTTCAATGTTCTCACTCCAAAATGCTATTTTGTCCACAAAGTCAGCATGAAAATCATATAATTGGAGTAGGTCCCAGATGATACAATTTCAAGGTACCACAACAGAAGGGCTATGAAAAAACTCACACATTAAAAAAGTAATAAAGAATGTTTGGGGTATGTTTAGTTTTTCAAATCACGATATAATAGTTTGAAGCTTCATGAAAATTCCTATGCCTTATTCCTTTGTCCTGCAAAAAACCACTTCAAATAAAATTTCACCCTATAGTGCATTGGTGTATTCCTATTTATGTGCACAGAGATTAAGAAGATATACACATCAGGTAAGTGTTTGAGAGAGTTTTTAGCAGTTTTTTCTACTTATCCAGAGTCAAAATGATCATAGTTAGATCATGGCATGGGATGACAGTACACTTTAAATATATAAAGAGATTTAATAAAAATGACAAGGGCAAATCATTCTAATTAGCCAAGAAAGAGAGAACAAAATGTAAAAGGATTAAAGGAACATTGTCAAATTACATTTCTGAAACCAGCTAATTGTAAAAAGTCCGTATTATGACAACTTACACTTTTAATAGCATGTCCTGGTTTTGAGATTATTTAAAATTCTCTTGAGAAGGAAATTTTCCCTTCCTGTTCATTTTTGGAAGAAATACGAAAACTAGTTTCTTGCCATAGATGTCTCATAAGTAATTATATGTCAAACAGTTTATTGGTTTTTGCATAAATAAGTTAGAATAAAATAACTTCTTCAAATCTGCCAATTACAGCCAAATTTTCATTTTAGTTCCATTAAAATACATGGGTTTTTTAAAGGAATGTGGCATTTCTCTACCAGACAAAGAGAAATATATTGTGCTGTCTCTGCTGTGCTACTGCTTGTGTTCCAGTAATTTAGAACATGTATTCAAAAAGAAATATTAGTTCTGGGAATCTCCTTTTTCAACTTCCAATTTGGGACAACTAAAAAAAGCCCATTTTTCAAAGTTGCAGTACTTAGCTCTTTCTGAAAATGAGATTCCAGCTCAATGTCTCAGGAAATACAGGTCCCTGAAACAAACAGCTGTTTTGAAAAACTTTGCAATTTTTTAAAATTGCATAAGCTTTCCAGAAGTAGCATGTCAGGGAGTTAAGAAGAAGTATTTGGTGTCTTTTGGTATTTTCCTTCAAATGTGTCATCTTGTGACAGTAATTCTTCAGAGGAATGATGGACTAACTATGGTACGCTAACACAATTGCAAATATCCTCTTTCCTTTTCCTGCAGAGATACAAATCTAGATTTAAAATTCTGTTATGTAAGTGTATTAGCTAGTCTGCCTTAAAAACATTGCTGACAGTCTTAAATGTCCCAGTTCAAAATATTTTTCAGTGACATCAAACATTTTGTGGATTATTTTTTGTTTCCCTTGCTTTTTTCTTCTTCTTTGACTTCTTCTTCTTCTTTTTTTTTTTTTAATGCCACAGAAATATCCGACATGTTTAGTTAAGAACTAAGATAATTTTTTCTTTCAGGATAAATATTTAGTATTTCCTAGCCAGCCAAAATGTTTTCCTAGAGTAGCCCTGCCATGGGATGCTGTTAAGTACCATTGAGAACTGCTTTCCATTCCAGGCCTTGCTATTAAAATCAAAAACTTAATGAAAAATATGAAGAAGTGCAAAAAAGCAGATATGCTGGGATAATAGGAGAGCTGGGGATGAGTGTAATGAGTGCAATGAGAGTCAAGGATCTTTTGGATAACTGAATGACTCCATGAACTGGCTTACAGACAAAGATGGAGGAAGCTTGGCACAACTAGGTTGTCTAAAAAAAATAAATGGTCATTGGCATAATCTGCTATATGTATTCATAATAAAGAACAAAGAATAAAGAGAGAAGAGTACTGTTTAGAGGGACATAACTGGTTATAACTTGACTATTGCCATAACCTGAAGATCTTCACAATGCAAATACTAACAAGGGAAACTTCCTGACAAGATCTTCAGGTTGTTCAAAATTACAATGCAGGTCAAAGGAGCTGAGTGCCTTAGGCTAGACTGGGCAATAGTTAAACCCGTTTGAGTATATGTTTTACCATTTCTTGAATTTCATATCAAGAAATTCCAGAAAATGTTTTAGATGGCAAAGGCAAGTTAAAAACGAAGAAATGTTCTTTGGAGTTATAATTGCTGACCCTGTTCCACTAAAGCTCTGCAGAAAATTTTCAAGAAAGGACCTTTCTGTGACTCTCAGCCTCTGTCACTGGTACAAATAGAGAGCGCAGCCTTAAGCCTTTGGAGGTAAGATAAACTAGATGATGCAATAGATCTTATTCATCTCTATTTTTCATGAGTGCACAAACAAATATTCATGCCTGGGAACATTAATCACTGTTGGGTAGAGGTCTAAATCAAAGAAGGGATATAATGTTTTGTACATGCTCAGCACACACTGTTCTAACATTTATAAGTATGTAATTTCCAAACCAAATTTCTTCAAACACAGCAGTGCATCATTCAGGAATACGTGCATTTTCAAGGGTGAAGTTTCAAAACAAAGTTGTTTTGAGTTGCTGGGGCTGAAAAGCATATGAAAAATGCCTTAAATGGTGAAAACAATTTTTCCCCTCCTCTTCATTGGATAACTTTGAAAAAAAATATAAACAACTGGATTGATGTTTATGAAAGTTTCTAAAACCAATTGAGTCTTGAACTGAGACTGAGCATGAAAAATGTGAGCCCCAAAGGTAATATTTTTTTAAGAAAGTTATAAATGACTGTGATTTAGAATTGAAATGTCATTTCCAAGCTTGTCAAGATCATCACAACTGCAATGCTACATTAACTTGTGTTGTGCAAAGCTGTAGCAATAATAGAAAAAAAAAATTCTCCTAATTTCCACTGACCTGCAGCAAGTTACTCTGTCAGAAATCTGTCATTAAAACAGAAAACAGACAGTAAGAAAGAGAGTTCATAGAACTAAAGAAGAGAAGGAGAAAAGGAATAAGAATAAATGATAATTGGGGGAAGGAAAAACAAAACAAAAAAAAAAATAAAATGGAGCAGAACAATTTATCTTCAATTCCTCTACTTCCCCAGGGGAGGATGAGAGTTCTTTGGTCAATGTTCATTTTTCACCACACAGTGGTGAAAACCACAAGACATAGAGGTGGTAAAGAAGAAGCCAAAAAGAAGATGAAAATTGGAGGGAAGGTAGAAGAAGTGGATAAACTAGGGAGCTTAAAAGAGAAATGATCAAGGAAAGTAATTTTGGAGGTATTGCCAGAATTCCTTGAAGAGTCCTGGAATGATTCTCTCAGTTAGAATTCAGTGAGAGCTCCACTTAAAACCATTTTTGGAAATCTGCAAAAGCAGGGCAAAGAGAGAAGTAAGCTGTGTGGAGCCTGGGTGGAGAAAGAGACAGCCTGGAATTATCCAAGGCTGCCAAATCATGCTTTTTCTTCCTACCACTTGCTCTAAGAGCATAGATCTGAAGCCTTATCAGTTTTCTGCTGATATAATTTTCACTCTTCTCAGATGCAAAACATGTGCCATGTATTCTGCATTCTCTACTTGTCACCAGGTAGTATTCAATGAAGGACTCCTCCATGAGTTTGAGCTACAGCCTCCACTCTTACCTGCTTCCAAACCACCCTCAGGGGTTGAGCATCATTCCTAGTCTTTCCTGGATAAACCAGTTGTCACATTACAAACACCCATTCAGGTTCTGGTTTTTCTAGTTAAGAGTGAACTAACCGCTGCTTTGTGACCATAGCCTCATATGGACAGACAACAACAGGAAAAGCAACCTACTCTCCTCTGACTACAGATATTCTCTCTCCTTTCCCTACTCTTATTTTAAACTAGCCATCCTTGCTCCCTAGCCAACAGCAAGAAAAGTTCAGTGACTCATTTCACCCATTCTGGTCTTGCTGACATTTAGAAACAAAGGTCAAGCAGATAGCTTCTCTGGGAGACAAGAGAGAGGCATTGTCCTCTGCTATTCAAAGAACCTTGATGCAACATTCTTAGCACTTTTTGCAATATTCTACATATTACGTATCTTAAAAGGTACAAATGATATCCAACTTCACCTTTATTTTAGCAAATTCTGAGCAGGTAATAAAAGAGTGTTTAGCAGGCACATCAGAATAAAGATAATAAAGCTGATAAGAGAGTGCTTTGATCCATAATTTCCTTCCTTCCTCTTGGGAACATATGTGTATGCTTGTTTTAGGGACATTTTGTACCAAATACAAGAAGCTTCTCTTAACCCTAAGGATGCCTCATGAAATGAGTGTCACACAGTAGAGCCCACAAGCAAACATTAGGTACAGTGTGAAGGTGATGAAAGGCAGGGATCTAGCAGCATAGATTCAAAATTCTGCTATTTGAAAAGTTTCCATTGGGACTGTTTTTCGAAGACAAATATCTCTGCCAAATGTGTGCACATAAATATTTTGATCTGGAAAATGCTGATTCTGTAGAAAAACAAAGCTCCTTAAAGCAGAACACATGTATAAATCTCTATCCACATCTACGTCTAAATAGACTGAATTTTGGTTCTGCCATACATCAATAACCATAAAGATGCATTGTGGGACAGAGTCTGGTTTGTTGAAGTTCAAAATCTCTTTATTAGTTTGAAGTTCCCTGGAGAAAATGTATAATTTTAAGTCTTGTAAGAGACTGTGAGGCATTCCACAGGCAAATAGCTCTATAATGCTGTGGTATGGCTCTGTTTAATGCACCTCTGAGACAAACAATTTTTGCACCAGAATATATGGGGTTTAATTTTTCACAAATACTTAACAACTTACTTCAGGAAGCAAAAATAATATTCACTTAATTCTTTAGAAAACAATAACATGTCTAGTAAATGTGAGCTCATACACAGGAGTTTTCAGCAATGAGAAGGCTTAACATGAAAGCTGGTGTGGAGGTTATTCTGCACCCTTAGGGGGAATGGGTAACAGGTACAAAACTTTACAGGACTGTGGCACTTGTTGACTCCCTGATGTAAAAAAAGAGTGAGAAGCCTCACTTTAGTGTAAGTCATTCCCATAACATGGTTTTGCTATTTTAAGGACAGTAGAAAATTCTAGACATGCTTTGCACTGAGAGATATATAAGGATAAGATGGAATTTCATTTAGAGGGAAGCTTTTAAGGATAATTAAATCAGCTCTTACATAATTTAGGTGAATGGCCTGGGCAGGCAATTAGAAATGTATCCCAAGCTCAACAGCTCTATGACAAAACATGCTAAGACAAAGTGGACTTAATTGCTTCTTTTTTTTTTTTTTTTGCATTAACATTCTGCCAGAGGTAAAGTCTAAGAAACATTAAATAATTTGTCCAAAATGTCCCCAAAGTTGATGGAAACACAGAAATGGTATCTGACACAGGTTCTATAAGAATAATACTCTATGCAAACTAGGTATGTCTTCTGGGTAGCAATCACAATGGCTCAAGTCTACCTTGATCAAAGCCAGGGTCCGATGGTAGGATGAGACCTGACAGCCTCATATTTAAAAGATTTGAAGACTGTGCAGTTAAAAGTTACAATGATTATCTACAGCAATGGGATCTACGTATCTTAGAATGAAAACAGGGTCTGTAATGACATCTCGTCACTTCTGGTTTTAGTGAAAGTCAGAACAGCTAATCCTTAACTTTCTCTTCAAATAGTGATACACTTTTGATCACGAAACAAAGAGGAAAAAAGAATGCAGAACACACACTTTTATGGGTTTTTTTCTTTTTTTCGAGAGAGGTACAAAGGTTCTAGGTGTTTTCAACAGATACTTCAGATCACTTAGTAAAGGAAAATGTTCTGCAAATACCAAGAGCAGTACACCATGTGATAGCCTTCAGCACAAAAGATGGCTTAAGATCTTTCTACCCACTGCCTGCTTTCCTTCCTCCCTCATCTCCAGCACTCTCTTGGTGTTTATCAGTGCCTTACCGCTGCTCTGCTCCATATTGCATCTATGGGTACAGTTTTCTTTAACAGAAAGGAATCTCTTACAGAGAGAGAGTTTTTGGTTAAAAACACAGATGTTTGTGTACGCATGTGTGTGAAACAGATTTTCCATATCTTTCAAACAATCCCACACAAGTAGTAGGATGGAAGGAAGTGAAAGAGTAACTTTTGTCAGGATATAGTTCACTTAAAGTAGATCTGCCACCAAAGGGTTCTTAACATGAAAAAAACACCAAATTTGTAACACTGCTCACAAGTAGAGCAGCATTTTCCAGTCTTACACAAAACATGTTTCTCCACACAGACTGATAGATTTTTATTGAGTTTTCTGATTGTTCTATTTTATCACTAGAGGCAAGGAACAAAGCTATTAGAGCTTTGTTTTAATTGTCTATCAGGTACTATTGCAGTCTTTTGGGTCTGTTTGTGCTACAGCGTTTTTAATTAAGAGGTTATGGACCTGCTCACACCCATGAGACTCCATTAAATGCAGCTGGATGGTACATAATGCTCACTGAATTATAACACAAAATCTGTGTGACTGTAAACGTGCTGTCTTAAGACATGTCCAGCAAAAATGCAATGAAAAGTTTAATGAAGCTTGTCAGCTTGTCTAATAAAGAACCCTGCCACTCTGTAAAGAGCTGGAAAGCACAGAAAATTTTGTCACAGTCTTTTTGTTAGACAAGATGATCGCTGAAGCCCAAGCTGAAATACAGACTAGAAATAATTGCTTTTCATTTGATACAGTTTTTTTGCTCCCTCAAACAAATTCAGAAAAGACGTGGAAAAGGGAGAGCTATGAGTCTGGAAGGAAAGAGAGAGAAGGAAGGATGCAGGTTGCATTTTGAAATAGGTCGGTAAGAGGTAAAATGAAAGGAGGGCTGCTGGTGAACATCTGGTGAGTCCAAGAGTTCTGAGTGTTAGCAACAAAGATTTTTTGGGTGATCACACTTGGAATGACTGCTTTGTTAGGAAGGTCCTTCCATTCAAAACTGGGTCCTAGTCTGATCCAGGAATTTGTTGTGCTGTGGGGTGCTTGTTACAGTCCACTGCATGGTATTCATTTCAGTCTGAGAAAAGCAGAGATTCATGTATTTCATTATTTCTACTGCAGGATCTCTGAAAATCTTACAAATCTAAGAAACCAGTTGTTTCTACATTTGTTTCTCTAGCACAATGTGATTGTTTCTTTAGCACTATTTATTGTTATTTGCCACACTCAGTGTTCTTTATAGGTGACTGGTTTGTGGAGGAATATGTGGCTGTGCTGGGGGTTTTGAACACGATTGTTCAAAATACATTTATTTCGTAATGTTAATCATGATAATTAGAAAGTTGAGGTTGATGAAATCCATGGACACTCTAATGGTCTGGTGGTTGTTAATAAATTGTTGAAGAAAATTGCTATAGGATTCTTAGTTTTTAGGTCAGGTGAAGAAATTATCCTCATACAACAAAGATGTCCTGCTATATACAATTTCTCACAAACCTCTTAAACTGTGATTTTTCTCTGATTATTATTCCTTCAAGAATAACTGCTTGTATCTTTCCATGGGAATTGGTGACACTCCAAGTGAGTGACAAATAAATGAGCTATTTTGCATTATGTCCAGTTTTAAAATCTGCATGCTGCTGTGTTCTTCAATGTGAGATTGATGGTAGAGGATCCTGGTAAAATGCATGGATATACTCTGAATGATTAGGGAGGTTTTATGCGAGAAATTTTTGAGGTATAGTTTGTCTGAGAGAAAAAAATGCTATCTGAGTAAAAAAAACTGACACAAACATTCTATGTATCCGACTTCTATTACAACTGTGGTTGTTTGTCATGCAGCTACCTGAGTTCCAGTATTCATCATTATTGAGAAATGTATAGAAAGATGTAGGGAACAGGGGTGGAAAAAGAGAGCTGGTAGTGCAGCTTTTTGTTGGAACTCTCTGAGAAGTCATTAATAGTGTCTTTGAGTTTAAAGACACAGAAGCCCATATCTTTTTGCCTTGAGTTCCTTTTTGTTCTGAGTATCAGAAAATTGCTTGGTTGTCTTGCTGATGCAGTCTTGCCTGATGCATCATTTCTGTAGTTCTTAGAGAACTTAAAGATCCTCATTGTTTTCAGCAAGAGGTAAAATATAGCTTGAGTGGAGATTATTGGTTACTCTCATCCATCTACATGAAGATAAGGTCAGATTTTGGGCTTTCAGATGTGTTATTCCCAAAGCAATCTAATTTAGAGCTTGACAAGAGGAAGAGTGCCTAAAAGCAGAGAATATTGTTCCAGGAAAAGAAGTTATTGATATGTAGATATGGGAAAGAAGACTAAAATCTGTTTTACCATAGAAGTCTCATAGCTGGACTGGCTATCACACACATTGAAGGATATCAGGTCATCCATCCTCATTAGCTCTTTTCCTTTTCCTACCACTAGCTGTCTGCAGAGCAGGGAGCATCTAAGACAAGATGGGCCAAAGATTTGGCGGAAACTCCCAATTTACTCAGTCTGTGTGAACAAAAGAAACTGTGTTGGAAAGATAGGAATGGGAAGGACAGAAGTGTGCTGGACAGTTTCTCATCAGTTCCCCTCAGCCCACTATTCTCCCACCTTCACAGGAAACAGAAATGGAACATTTTTCAAGATTAAATACAGAATACAGAGAGGTCGTGCAGAGGGAAAAAAATGGAGCGGAAGGAGAAAAAAGTAGCAAGAAAAATACTGACATTTGTTACACTGTGGCATGGCCTGAAGGTCCCATTTTGTTTGTGTACCCTTCTGCACACCATTATTTCAAACATCACAAAAATATGGCCGTTACCCTGGGAGTGTAAAAATAAACAAATCCTGCAAACAGGGGAACCAGATTTACTGTCAGAGGTCTGAAAATGCTGGTAGCAACAAAACATGTTATAGGGAATGGATATAATAAAAGAGAACTGTACAGCTTCTTAGTCAAACCCACATAGATTTCAACAACACCCAGGTCCTGCAAGACATCTTTCAACACCATCAAAAGACAAGGAAAAAATTGTCCTTACTGAAAATAACTTTCGATGTGCTCAATTGCACAAAACATCTTTTGGTTGCCGGGACCCAGCATACCACAACCTAACTGCAGAACTGTAAAATATTTTCAGGCATCAGCAACTATTTGAGAGATGAAATCAGGCTAGTCTAAAGGATGTATTTTACCATTGTGTGATATGCTAGCATGACAAAATCAAAACCAAGCCTGCTTTGAACAAGCAGAATGAAAGAAATTTTGAAACAAATTCTTTGAGCTTTTTGTCCCCCAGCTACTTGGGATCTTGGATTGTGATATGCCATACCCTGGGAATGTGTGTGCAGCTGCTGGAGGAGAGGGTTTGTGCAACTGGAGTCCAGCTTTTCATAAAGGCAGGAGGAAAGACCAAGCATCTGCCAGCAGCTGTGCAAGGATCACATCTCACATAGCACGTTGGTCTTTCCAGGCAGCTGGTCAGAGTTCAGCTCTACTCACCTGACTTTTGAAAAATGAGGATTATACTTGCTCACTGGAATTTTTAAGCATTTTTCCAGGAACATTTAGCCCTCATATGCAAACATATTTGTCTGAAAACCTGAAGGAAAACTCTTGTTTTCTCAGAAAATTCTGGCAAACTTTTTTAATGCATATGTTAGAATCTCTAAGAAAGCCAATGAGGAGAAGGGTGAATAAGCAAATAACAGCTGATTCTAAGGTTTAACTATTAACAGGGAAACTGGTATACAAAGCAGGTACTAACGCCCTTGGAGTAACAGTAATATCATTATATAACAGCCAGAGAGAGCAGTAATGCTCATTGCTATACACTGTGCACCAGTTACTATGCTAAATATGCCTTTTATTTTCTGTGTAAGAATTTATCCATGTAGAGTAATATGCTCAAAGTCAATTACATATTTTCTCTAATTGCAGCAAAAGGTGTTTCAATCCTTTTAAGGAAGGTGAAAAGGGAAAATACTCTATTCCTTTGTTTTTCATTAATTAATTAGTTCCATTTTTATTTTTTGAAAACAAATTTTCTAATGCTAAACACAGACATGACATTTGCTTGCTGGGGGAACTGGGAAATAAAAAAAAGCTCTTTGTTATGGCTGACAAAATTTAATACATTTTGTATTGTAAGTCAGAATTTTTACACTCATTAAAAAATCTCTGTAGCTACCAAACTCACTTTACATTTTCCCTATCTATTGTTCCTGTTTCTAAACTCCCCTAAATCATCTCTTCTATGTATTTTGACTCTCATAACACTAAGCCTTCCCTCCTGCCAGAAATATGAAGCAGCATCCAGAGGTGTGAAATCCCCCACTGCAGAGACCTTGCCCCTCCAACAAATATTTTTAGGCCACAGTTGTGAAATGCATGTTCGCTTCCCCTTCGGTACTTAGGTTTCATAGATAACAAAGGTCTACTGACGATATCAGTTACTCCATTAGCTGAAAAAACAGGGGTTCCTGTTGGCACCCAGCCTCCCAGCAGTTTTTGTGGAAAAGCCAGGGTGCAAGCTCAGTGAAAAAATAAGCTGGCATGCCAATATTAAAAGTCTGAAGAGGCAGATCATGAAGCTGAGGAAATAGCAGAAACAAGCATACATTGCCCTCTACTCCAGGATTCTTGTTCAATACACAGAGTGGATAATGCAGGAGATAGGAGCTGGCGAGGACAGAAGGGATGTTCTCTGTTTCAAAAGCTGGATGGCTGAGCTTTATTTCAAATTCAGCTGCCCCCTTTGTACAGGACGATGGATAAAAGTGTAGCAATAATGGATATATACAGGAAAGGTTGATTATGTTGTGCAACTCACTTTGACTCTTAACTTGATTGTCATTTCAACCTCAACCATCTTTTAATACATTTCTTTCAAAAAGCATTTTAATGCACTTTAAAATGGGTCTGTTTCTTACACCCTGGAATGCCTGTTGGCAGGCTGTCCAATGCCAATCTGTTGCTTCCAAGGATCTGTTTTTCATTCTACAGCAGTCCTGTCTGCAGGAGTCCTGCCATCTCAATGCCTCACTTACACTGACAGATATGGCAGTGTGTCTTGATGACCACGTGGAGCTGTTCTCGGGCAGGCAGAAATCAAGCAGGTTTTAAGCCACTGTAGCCAGTGCAATGATTTTAATCTAGTTCTCACTGATTCTTCACTAGAAGAATTATGAAAACATTATAAAATCATGTGAGAGAGACCTTGGATAAACCGCAAAAAGTCTGATAAATGAAAAAAGTCTGAATAACAGTAAAAAAAAGTGCAACCAGGCTATACGCATGCATTGTTTGGAGATGTGTGTGTGCGTGTATTCATGATGTATTACAGGCTCATGTCATAACCTTTCTGCAAGAACACTTCATAACAACATACTGCTTTTTACCTTGTAGTTGACTGAGTTTTGCCATTCTACAGAATTATCAAAGAGGAAAACACATTTTTCCTTCAGTTGTTTTCCTCCTGATATTTGTGGGAAGGCTGGAATCAGCACTGACTCGTGCTAATAGGAATCACTAGCCAAAACACCACAGCTGAAGAGATTGACCTTTGCCAAAAGCAAATTCATTTTGTGGAAACCAATGGACAGGACAGAACAAGAGAGCAGGAGACAGTTCCGACAGTAATGGGCTGTAACTGAGTTCTCAGCCTTGCTGTAAGTGCCTTGGTGCTATTGTGTGTGAAAGTTGCTCTGTTTTATGCTCTTTGTTAGGTTCTGTCAAGCTCCATTTAAAATAATGAGGCCCGTCACTCACTTTCTCTCCATGTAGTTCATAGCAGACAAGAGAACTTTCAAAGGAAGAGCAAAAACTCATCTGCAGAGAAGA